CGTTTGATTGATGCATTATGGGCCTACCGCACTACTTATAAGACATCTATTGGGTCACCATATAGGGTTGTGTTTGGCAAAGCTTGCCACCTCCCGGTTGAACTTGAGCACCGAGCGTTGTGGGCCATAAAGAACTTTAACTTCGATATGGCCACGACTAGGCTCAACTAGAAATTGCAACTCAATGAGCTGGAGAAAATTTGAAATGATGCATATGAGAGTTCAAAAAATTTTAAAGCTTGAACTAAGGAATTCCATGATAAACACATTAATAGAAAATCCTTTGAACCCAACCAAAAAGTATGGCTTTTTAACTCAAAATTGAGACACTTTCCGGGCAAGCTTAGATCAAGATGGGACGGTCCCTTTGTGGTTGTAGGGGCATTTATTCATGGCGCCGTTGAGGTGCAAGATCCAAGGAATGGCCACACTTTCAAAGTGAATGGCCAAAGACTGAAGCCTTATATAGAGGGGATTGGGAATGGGGATATGATTGAGTCTATTGCTTTGATGGACCCTTTATACTATGATTGAGAGATTGATGTGTTGTTCTCTTTTCCTTCATTTCTATTTGATTCTATTTTTATTTATTCTTGTTGTGCTTTATGTGACGTCTAGGAGACTTTAAATCCTCTAAAGGTGTAATTCTTTTGGTGTTAGTCGTGCCCGAACGACATCTGACGGTCTGGTATAGCTACCTAACTGTGTTTGTAGTGAGTTCTTAGAAGATCAACTTAGACGGTGGAAACTAGAATTCGAATGGCAAAGCCTAGAACGCAAATGTTTGGAATTTCCGAGACTAAAGTCTGGTTTAAATACCCAGGGGTATAGAGATTGCTTCAAAACCACCCCTGCTTGAACTTTGTATGGCAGCCCCATAGGTCGAGTTAGCTTTATGCCCCTCGATTCTGGATACCGAATCAACCTAATCTGTCACACTATTGGAGAATAGGGAAAGTTACAAACATTGTTAAAGAGAAAAGTAGTACCCGTGATTTTCGCGTGAAGATTATACCTTTGTTGAGCATTTAGATGTTTTCAAAGCGCTATTTTTTATTTCAGATGTACATTGAAGGTAGAAATGGGTTAAATTTTACTTTGGGTTGTCATTGGGTTTATTTTTAAATTAAAAAAAAAAGAAGATAGAGAGCAACAGACTGCACGTGCGGTCCAAACTGGCACACATCCGGAGAGAGAAGGGCTGGGCGCACGAGCGGAAGGGCTAAGGCGCACGAGCGGCCCAAGCCCAAAAGGCTACTGTATGAACGCCGCTAGAGCAGCACAAAAATAAGCACTCGTGGGCCCAAATGGGCACACGAGCGGTCCATACAAAAAAAAATAAAAAAAATGGAACGTATGAGTAAAAGGGCTAACCGCACGAGTGGCCTAGGCCCAAAAGTATTCTGTGCAGCTACCGCACGAGCTACCCAATTTCATTGCTGGAGCGGCCCAAAAATAAGCGCTCATGCGGCCTAATTGGGCGCACGAGCGATCCAAAAAAAAAAAGCTTGCAAATTTTATTTTTTATTTACTTACTGTATATTTCTTAAAAAAAAAAAATTCCATGCAGATTATTTATTTCTTTATTTATTTTAATTCACGTATTATATATATATATATATATAAACCATTCCTTTAAACCAAACCCTAGACCCTCTTTTGACCAACACCACTTCTCTACACACTCTCTCTATCTCTATCTCTCTTCTTTTTCTTCTTCTTCTTCTTCTTCTTCTTCTTCTTCTCTCTCTCTCTCAACCCCACAAACCCACCAAAATCATCAAACCCCACCATCACCAACTTCTTCTTTCTTCATTTTTCAACTTCCACTCACCCGTTTGCTCACCATCACCTTCCACCTGAGCATTACCATCTTTTTCGACCGGTGACCTTCCGGTGACCATTTTTTCCAACGGATCTACATCATCTTCTTCCTTTCTCTTCTTCTTATATTTTTTTAAGGTAATCGCCCTTTTTTTGTTTAGATTTCTTAGTTTTCACTTGTAATATAGTAGTCTAATGGTTGTTTTTAAGGCTTTTCATCATCATGTTCATCATTGTCATCCTCACATACAACAACAACAACAACAACAACAATAACAAAAAGAAGAAAAACACTTGACTTGTTTGGGTTCGTAGCCTTTTTAACTCGAGTTATTAAGCTGGTAGGGGTGTATTTACACCTAGTGCCCTAAAACCGTCTGGTTTGGGAGTCATTGGCCCAATGCTTGTTACATTGGTTAATTAGAAAGCTTAAGGGACCTAGACATTGCACAGGTAAGGAAAAATAAGAAGAATAACTTGTTCAGATTCGTAGCCTTTTCAACTTGAGTAATTAAGCTCGTAGGGGTGTCTTCACAACTAGTGCCCTAAAATCATATGGTTTGGGAGTCATTGGCCCAATGCTTGTTACATGGGTTGATTAGAAAGCTC